GGTGCTCCAGGGAAGGGATAGGTGCTCCTGGGAGGGAGGGATGGGTGCTCCAGGGAAGGGATAGGTGCTCCTGGGAAGGAGGGATGGGTGCTCCGGGGCCGGCATGTGCAGTTTCCGTCCAGCCGCCTCTGATCCGATTATGTAAATGTCCCGGAGCCGCAGGGAACGCAGCGAGCAGGAGGAAATAAATAAATATATCTGGAAATGCAAGAGCTCTGCTGCGAAGGTGACCCCTCTGTGTGCTCTGGGAGCTGCCACAGCTGGCTCCTGGTGCTTCTCCTTATGGAGCTTGGGAGCATCCCCTGGGCAGGCGATGCTGGGAGGATGGAGGAAGGTTTGGGCAGAGGCAGAGCGGGATGTGCCGGACCCTCGTGTTCCAGGTGAGCATTTCAAACCCGCTCTTGCAGGGCTGAAATTTAAGGCCAGAGCTCCACGAGCCACCCGCTGGCTCTGCTCCCATCCCTGCTTGGAATCTCACTGGGAACAGTCCAGACTCTCCGGGACCAAGGAGCCCCGTGTCAGCGGGGCTGGGAGCAGACATGGAAAGACAAGTCACGATGTGCCACAGGGGAGGAGTGGGGTGTGTGTGAAAATAAGAAGCAACAAATTAACGGGATAATGAGAGGCCCGGAGCCAGAGCTGGAGCACGGTGCTGAGTTGAGTACACCTGTCCAAGGAGCAGGGAAAGCTCCCTCTCATAATTCAGCAGCAGGCAGGAGGGATGTGTGGATGCACTGAGGAAGCCAGTTTGGGCGTCGGGAAGAGCTCACAGGGCTGTGGGTGGTGCTGGAAATAGGTTTTTAATGGGAATGGGGAAGCTACGGCGGAGCTCGGAGGCGGCTGAACTGCGAGTGTGTGACTGCTGTGCTGGGTTTGTGCTTCCTCGAGGAATGTGAGCATGGAGAGCAGAATACTTGGGCTTGCCTGTGTCATCCCTGGGTTAGTTTGTGTTTTCCTTGAGGTTTTGGAGGAGCAGAGGTAGAGGAAGGCACTGCCAGGTCCAGACAAGGAGGGGTGAGAGGTGGCCGGGGCAGGGGTGCTGTGCTGGGTGGGAGGTGCTGCTCTGTCAGGATTTGGGGAGGAGAGGCCCTCAGGCTGCCTGGAGCAAGCACTCCTGGGATATGAAGGACTCACCTGCCCTTGGGAGGCACTGGTGGCTACCCCAGTCTGTCCTGCCCGGGATGCCAGCACCCCTTTCAGGCAGACTGATCCCCCTCCCAGGTTCTCCTTTCCCATGGGAATGAACCTGTCTGGAGCACCAGCACCTGAGACACCAGCACAGAGCACCCTTCAGCCTCCAAACCTGCTGAGAGGGCTTTTGAGTGTGTGAAACACAGGGCTGGAACCAGAGTGAAACAGAGAACAGCATGTGCTGCTCCTCCTCTGGGGAAGGGCCCTGGGCTGTGGGTTTAAGCCTCTCTGGGTCATCCAGCAGCATCCCAGAGGCTGCATCCTCCAGCCCTAGCAGGATTTCTCCCTGTGGATCCCTCCAGGGCTATGCTCTGGCTCAGCAGCAGTTATGGGTGGTCCTGTGCCACGTGCCAGTGCTCCAAGGAGCTGCCAACCTCTCCCTGCAGCCAGGCTGGGCTCCTGGAGACTTTGAGTGGCATCTGCCCTGTGGAGTCGGTTTATTTGGAGTGTCTGTGCCAGAGCTGCCTGTGCACAAGATGTGCTCCTCAGAGCTGCTCCTCTGCCTCCTTGTGTCCCATCTTCTCTGCTGTTCTGTGGAGCACTGAGCCCCCTCTGCCACTGGGAATGCTGCTGTGATTAATCCGTACTCCCCAAATTGTTTCTGTGTCAAACCAGACAATGCTGAGCACCTGCTCTGAGCTGCCTCAGGTTCCCAGCACAGCCTCCAGCCTGGTGTGTGAGTTCTGATGGTGTATAAACCCCGTGTGTGTCCATGTCTGCTTTGGAAAACTGCTTAAAGCTGGGAGGAAGCAGATCTGGGATCTCCTGCCTGGGGTGACCGTGGGACCGGGGTGATGCACACATGGCTGTGTCCCGGTGCAGAGCTGGTTCCCGGCATGGATGGAATGTGATGCTGTCCCTCAGGGTCCCCAAACCCATCATGGCACAGGCAGGACGGTGGACCTGGTCTCCTCTACCCCCACAGCGCTCCAGGGAGGGAGCAGCATCCTGCTGGGCTGCTCCCAGCTCACCCCAGGACAGCCAGTGGGCTGGAGGAGCTCTCCACCCTGTGCATCCTTATAACCAGGGGTTAATTCCAGCACTGCGGCGAGCAAACTCCATCCTTCACCCCTGGATTTGCCTCTTTAGGGCAGGGATTGCCCCCAGCCACCCTCGGGCAGCTGCTGTGCTGCCCAGAATCGGAGCTGCCCCGCGCAGGGGGCCGGGCTTGTCCCCCTGTGCCCGGTGCGGGGGATGGCGCGGGAGGAGCTGGTCCCGCCTGGCACAGCCTGTGTTAATTATCCGGGCTGCGCTAACGACACGTGCACTAATCAGCGCATTGCAAACC